AAAAAAAAAAAAAAAAAAAAAAAAAAAAAAACTTTTGAAACGAATCTATCATATATATATTTTTTTTTTGATCAATTTTTAAAAATATGGACTACTATTGATTTGTTCAATTGAAATACTTTTTTAAAATAAAATAAATTGAATCGTGCTTTCAAAATTAAAAAGCAGTACACTGTACATATCTCAATTGAATAAAAAAAACCAAATAAATTGAATAAAATAAAATAGAATCTGATTCTAAAAATAAAAACAACATATATCTCATTTGATTAAAAAAAATGATAATGAAATAAAAAACTGAATCTAAAAATACGCAAATCTAATCCTGAAAATCTGGAATTTTATTTTATTTTATTTTTTTAAAAAAAAATATTGTAAAATAACCTTTCTGAATATTATAATCAGCAAGAGTGCGACCGTCTTCAAGCTGCTTCCCGGCGAAAATCAGGCGTTGTTGATCGGGAGGAATTCCTAAACAAAAAATAAATCAGAATGTCACAAAGTCATATACAATTTTTAGGTACAGCTAGGCCGCGAACAACCAACCATCGATTATACTATAAAAATTGGATAGGTTCGATCTATTGTCATTTGAATATGGCCTCCTATAACGATCTACTAAATTCAGCAAGTTGTTCCAAAGAACCAAAACGGCCAGTTATTAATGGAATTCCTTGTCGGCTCTCTGTGAAATACTCGTTTGGCCGAGGGCTTCAAAATACATCATAAGCTAAACCGGTACCCACGAATTTCGATTCGATTGAAAAAAAAAACCCTAAAATCATAAGCTATACCTTCCTTGTCGTTAATTTTGGCCTTGACATTGTCGATGGAGTCGGTTGACTCAACCTCGAGCGTGATGGTTTTGCCGGTCAAAGTTTTCACGAAGATCTGCATCTTTTGTGTTCCTTAATTAATGACGAAGGTTAATTAACAGTAGTTTATATATAGGAGTTAACAAGTTCAACGTAATTAGGGTTTTTTTTTTGGTTATACTGCCCACGAATAATACGCAATCCAAGTAACAAATAGATCAAGATACGGTAAATATTTTAAGACGGTTAGCATGATGGTTGCATGGCAAATTAATTAATTTAAGGGGCTCTAGAATAATCCAGAACTAACATTTTCAATTACAATTACAATTATAATAATAATAATAATAATAATAATAATAATAATAATAATAATAATAATAAAATCACTAATAACTAGTACTTATTAAATGATTTAAGTTATTTTCACATACTTTATCTGTTTAAGTCTAAAAAATAATATGTACTTTCAACTTTAATAAGCACTAAGTCTAAAAAAATTAGGGTTGTAACTTAATTTTCCTCCTCTTTTAATCGGCGTTGTATTTTTAGTGAGAATATTAAATATGAGCATGATAGGGACTCTAGCATGTAAAATAATCTATACTTATATTAAAAGTCATACTATTTACCAAAAATAGTAGCAAAAAAAATCAACTCACATTTAATGCATACTTTATTTAAAAATTTTTTGCTATATGGATTAATTGCTTGCATATATACATTTCCTATTCAAATATGATCAAAAAGATTCTTTCCTTAAATAATTTTATTAACTTCTGCAATGATTTTACTGATATATATTATAATTCATATTTGTCGATAGTATTTTTTAATTTTTATTTGAGTATATAAAAAACAAATATTTTTTTAAATTAATTTTTTATTTATCATTTAAGAGATAATGATCACATCATTAAATGATATTACTGATGGCTAGATAATAAATTAAAATACATTAATTATTCTTTAAAATTTTGGCATGTTATTTATTTGTATCTATACTTATTATATAAGGTATCCTATTTACCAAATTTACTAGATTGAAAAATCAACGTAATTAATGCATTGTTATTTCTATCCATTAATTTATTTAATTATTTTATTTATTTGTCTTATATCCCATAAAATCAGTTTAAGAAAAAAAATCTCATAACATATGACAAGTCAAAAAAAAAGACGTAAAATCTTTACTAAAATAAAAAGACTTTATTTATTTGTCTTATTCCATATTAACATCGATTTTGTCAAAATAAATCCCATAAAATCAGTGAAGTTAAAATTTGTACGTAAAGTCTATCTATTAAAAAAAATCAGATTCAAAATTCCTTATCTAATTTTTTCTTTTTTCTTATCTAATTCCTTCTTTTCCTTATCTAATTCCTTTTATTATCTAATTGTATGAAAACCTGTTCTGATTTTGTTCAATCCTCTAATTGTATTTGTACTATATTCTATAAAATTCGTTTAACAAAAAAAATCCCATAACATCCGATAAGTAAAAAAACAAAGTACGTAAAATCTTTACTAAAATAAAAAGGCTTTATTTATTATCTAATTTATTATCTAATTGTATGGAAATCTATTATAATTTTATGGTACGTACTACAAATTGTGCACCCGTGTTCAGGAGCTACTAACGGGCAAGCTCTGTGGAAATGACTCATTTAGTGCTTCTGTCTCGTGCGTACAGTATGTATTTTTATTACACATACTAGAAAATTGTGCACCTCGTGCATCGCACGGGCTCTGTACTAATAAATGACCTTAAAATTGTGCACTCGTGCATCACCCGTGTTCACATTTTGGCCTATTACAGGTCACATACTATATATATCTCGTATATTTTTTTATTCATTTATATAATTATAAGAATGGATAAATGACCTTAAAATTGTGCACCCCGTGCATCGCACGGGCTCTGTACTAGTTAATATATTATCTCACTAACACATTTATACTGATATAAATTTTATTTTAGTATATATAGTTATGCCTTGATATAAGTGAATATAACAGTTTTACTTACTTAATTATTATTTTATTATAATCTTTGTTGTCATATTATTATCTATAAAAGTTATAAATTTTACTTATTCGTATTTACCATGTAATACTTAATTATTATTTTATTATAAACTTTGTTGTCATATTATTATCTATAAAAGTTATAGAAGTTGTATGTCTTTTTTTTTCTTTTTTTTATTTGTTATGTAATGAAAAATATTTAATAAACGTTAGTATTATTTATTTATGTAATCAATTAAATCATGTAAATAAATTTAAAATTAAATAGTGTATAAATATTTTACAAAAATATACACACGTGTTTTTTTAGAATTTAATTTTGTATACTAATTAAATAACTTTGATACAGAAAATGCCAATATCTCACCGTCAAGCACATCCGGCAAGGATGAAGGGGGATCTTCTATAATCAAGATTTTTTTTAATTCGTATTATACAGATTCATAGTTTATTTAGCATACTCTGCAATGAAAATATATTTTACAAGATTTCATTATATAAATAAATCAAATCAAAATAAAAAATGATAAAAAAAATAATCATGATTGCCAATAATATACAAATAAATTCTAAAGAACGGTTCATATATTTCAGTTTTAACTTTTTTATCATTAGCAAAACTATTTAATTTATCCAGTCATTATCTCTAAAAGTGTAAGTTATATTAATTTGAAGAATAATTTTCTTTTTATATATGTCGAAATAAAGCTTAAGAAAAAATTATATTGACAAAGATTAATTCACCAACTTGATTTCGCCTACTAGTACGTACCCGTGCGATACACGCGACGAAGATATTAAGTGAGTTGTTTTCACAACTCTGTCAGTTTAACTCTAAAAAGCAATAGAGTTGTTCTCTATTTTTCACTTCTTTTAATCAGCGTTAAGTCTAAAAAACAATAAGGTTATAATTTATTTTTCACCTTTTTTAATTAGCGTTGTTTTTAGCTAGGACATCAAATATGAGCATGTTAGGGCTAACTTGTAAAATAATTAATATATTATCTCAATAACACATTTATACAAATATATATTTGATTTTAGTATATATATTTATTCCTTGATAAAAGAAAAATAACAGTTTTAATTATTATTGTTCACCATACAATACTTAATATTTTTTTATTATAAAATTTGTTATCATATAATGTCATTTTTATTTATTAAAGTTATAGAAGTTGCATGTCTTCTTTTGATTTTTATTTTATGTAATAAAAAATATTCAAGGCACACTATTGTTATTTATTTATGTAATCAATTTAAAATATTCAAATAAATCTAAAATTGAATAATGTATAAATAATTTACAAAATATACACACATGTTTTTTTAGAATTTAATTTTGTATACTAATTAAATAACTTTGATTTAAGAAATGCCAAAAACTCAATCCCCAAGATTTTTCTAATCTACATTATAAGGATTTATTGTCCATTTAGCATACCCTGCAATAAACATATATTTTACAATAATTTCTTTATAGAAATAAATCAAAATAAAAAAATGGTAAAAAATAATCATAGTTAGCAATAATATACAAATAAATTCCAAAGAACAATTAATATATTTCAACATTAAATTTTTACAATTAGGAAAACTATTTAATGTATATGGTCATTATCTCTTAAATGATAAATTATATTAATTTGAAAAATAATTTGTTTTATATATACAACAAAATAAAGCTTAGAAAAAATTATTAATTCACCAACTCCGTTTCGCCTGATTAATTGGAAGAAACATTTCTACCTAACCTGTTACGATTTTCTATAAATATTTTTTTTGATAAAAAGTGAATATTTTTGTGAAAAAAAATGATATTTGGTTAGAACTTAAAATATATTGTAATTTATCTTGAACAAAATATTATCAACATGAATCACGGAAAAACCTTGTAGTTTATGAAAATGGATATCAAAGAAATTATTTCAGATGTTAATTTTATTATTTAAATGTCTGATTTTATTTTATTTGAAAAAATGTATAGAGAAGCAATTAATATATATATATATATATATATATATTTAAAAAGTTTCTAAAAAATGTATGCATTAAATACTTTCAAAAATTTTTATTACTATTTTTAGTAAATAGTTATTCTTATGATATATATATAGATAGATATATATAATATAATACAATGTATATGTGTCAACTTATGGTGTTACGAAATTATATCCTATTCCTACGTGTCAATTTTTTTTTATGCTTAGGAGTAGTCATATAAGTGTGGACTTATCATACTTAGTCTTATGGTATGACAATAATGCTCACTTAACCACGGTGGACACATGTTAATATGCTCACCGCTTATGTGACATGCACATATTGGTGATTTATGTTTTTAACATATTAATTAACTTCACAAATGTTTGAATGTCACATAAGCGGTGGACATATTAACACGTGTCCACCGTGGGTAGTGGAGCATTATCCTATGGTATGATTAGTATAATGGGATATAATTTGATAAAAATGGAATGAATGATTATGGGAAAGGAATTAAACAATATTTTTGTTTGATATACCCAAGGTATAGAATGACATAATCATCCTATATTTGATTTAATATTATTTACTTATTTATGATACTACCATTTTTTTAATAGAAAAACGCATAGCAGCCACTTTGAAAGGAGAGAGACACTTGGTGGGCTAAAGAATGAATTAGCCCATTTCACTTGGAAAGAAATGTAATTTGAGGAGCCCACTTAATCAGTTAAAAAGAAGAGGAAAAGGGAGCATTAAGTTCACTTGTTTCGGGGAAGATGACCATCGGTGGGTGCGTGTTTTGTATATTTTTGTTGTTATTTTGTGTGTTTTTATATGTTTTATTTGTCCTCATTTTATTTTATTTCAAGTTTTTCCCGGTTCATTTAGTCGTTTTTGTTCGTTTTTGTGTTTTCGTTTTATTTTGGTGTCTTGTGCCTTCTATTTCTCTTTTTACCTTTTATTTTGTAGGAAAATTACATTCCGGAGAGTTTCCCGAGAAAACCTCTTACATTTTTCGATGAACGACGAGTGACCGAGCCGACCCAAGCGATGAGAAATTGA